TCCCTTCAGGAAGAAGGTGATGACGGAAGAATTTCCTTTTTCATCTGCTGGATGTCAACCGTGCTATGGAGGGGAAAATTGCGAAACATTTTGTTTCCAAAAATTCCCTAACTCCTTTTCTAGCTTTTCTTTTTGGTTCTCCCAATTATCCGATACCCTCATGCTAAACTTTGCTGCTGAAAACTCTTTGTTGAGGCATTTCATGGGCACTCTTTCTGGGCTTACTTCTCACTCTTCAGGTTCCAAAATGATCTGTCTTTTGACCAAGACTGCCTTAAAGTTTCCCAGCTTGGCTACATTTTAGAGAAGCTTCCTCCTGACTAAACCCGTGACTTCCACTTTCAGAGAACATTGTCTTTAGAAAACTTGTAATTATAATTACTTTCTCTCCCCTTTGAGATGTAAATCTTCAAAAAAAAAAGTCTCTGCCAGTTTTACAGTTTAGGAAGATCTTTCTTAAGAGCTTGTGAGCCATTTCTCTGAGATGTAACATCAAAGGAGACAGCACCCCTATCTCTCAGCCTCTGTGGAAGGGTAGGAGCCTAACTTTGGTGGGTGCCTTGCTCCAAGTTGTAAAACTGCCTCTTGTCACAAAGATATGAGAAAGTTTACTGCTCCTTTGGGTAAAGCCAGTTAGCGAATACAGATGTCGTGTGTTCTCACTCACATACTACCACTTAAAAATCCTCCTGCCCTTTGTTTCAGTGAGGGTGAGTTCTGTTCTCTCTCTCATTCTTATTGTGAGAGGCTTGAATAAAGTCTTGCTTGCCTGTTTGACACTGTTCAGTGCAATTTTTGCTTTGACACTTGCAATTTTCTACCCAAGTTAAGTCTCCAATTTCATAATGGCTCTTCAAGTGGGATGTCAGGAAGAGAGTAATCAGACTTCAGTAATTTATACTATATGAATCCCAATGTTCTTTCTTGGGCCTGCTAGGGGCTTATATATTTTTTAAACAGATATCTATTCATCCACCTGTGTTTCTTAGCTCTCTTTAGGTAAAGTAACAGCAAATTTAAATATTTCAGGCAATGGGGCAGAGCTATTTTGGTCAAGGAGGCAATTTTGGACTATCCTTTAAGGCTTTAATCTCATGGTTCTCTACTTCAGCTACACATTAGGAGAATCACATGGGGAGGTAAAAAAAAAAAATACTGCTGGGGGAACCGAGCAGTTCCCTGGCTAGAGATTCAGACTTAATTGGTCTGGGTGTGATCTGGTCATAGGGATTTCTCCACAGTTGATTCTAATTTGTAGTCAAGGTTCACTTGAATCACTGCCTAAGCTTTTCATAGTTTTTTGTTTTTTAATCACCTCTTCTCTTTCCGAATTCAACAAACACTTATGGGGAGTCTGCTTCATGCCAGACACTGTCTAGAATATGAAAATGAATGTGTCATGGCCTCTGCTTTTCAAGGAGCTCTCAGAACAACGGAAGAAGCAGCCTGTAAACAAACAGCTGCAATGCAATGCAATAAAGACTCTAGAAGTTCGTTAAAAGAGTTATGGAAACACAGGTGAGGCAGCAATTAAAATTCTCTGGGGAAGGTGTCTGAATTCACTAGGTCTACTAAATATGCATGGAGAGAGCTGAGGGTGGACGGAGAGAAGATTCTAGGCAAAGTAAACAATAGAATAAAACCAGAGGGATCAAAAAACCCCACCAGTACCTTATTTTACCTACTAAGAGATTCGGATGTTATTGGTCTGGGGGGTGAGGTCTGGCTATTTTCTTTTGAAAGCCAGCTACAAACAGGCACAAAGAGACATTTTGGGGGGGGGTGGCATGGTAATATTCTCACACGAAAATGTGGTGATGATTGAAGAACTGGATAAATTTAGTAAACCCCACCAAACTGTACTTTAAATGGCAGGATTTTATGGTATGTAAATGACAAAGCTATTTAAGAAACAAAAGTATAGCATATTTAAAGTGAAAAATCAATCACTCAAACATTCTGTGGGGTGACTCTAATGAGCTATCTTGATTAAGAACCACTGGCTAAAATACTAACAGCTCACAGATGTGGAGGCTTTCAGTACAGTGATTAAAAGAGGTGGCAACCCAGAAGAGGGAGGTCTTGCAGACACAGAACAGTCATCAGAAAGACTAATGGAGCACTTGATATGCCATTCTAAGACTGCAAATCCCTGAGGACAGAGTGTGGACTACAATGCATTACTCTAAGTTCCAAAGTTGCAGTTCACTCAAGTATTTAACTGTAACAGAAGAATTTTGAGCTTTTAGTACACTGTATTCTTTACTGCTACACTGGAATAACTGTTATGTGCAGTCTTTATCATCCTTTTTAAATCAAAATGTCTGTTTCAAAGATCACTGTAATGGAGAACTCAGATGGCTTTAGCTACAAGGTTTTTTTTTTGATAAAGAAAATATGTTATAAGGAAGTGTTAAAAGCATTTCTTAATTACCTATAATGGTCAAAAAGAAAAAGACCTTCCATTTATTAAGTTCATTCATCAGAATGGAAAGACATTTATCCAGTTGACTTATAAGAAATGTTTCCTGGGGACTTCCCTGGTGGCTAGTGGTTAAGACTCTGAGCTCCCTATACAGGGAGGCCAGGTTTGATCCCTGGTCAGGGATCTAGATCCCACTTGCATGCCGCAACTAAGAGTTTGCATGCCACAACTAAAACCCAGCACAACCAAATAAATAAATAAACAAAAATAAATTGTTAAGAAAAAAAGACACATTTTCTAGGTAGCCAAATCTGAGTTTATACAGACAAAATAAAACCCAGTATCTTCCAAGTCTTTACAAATTAGCTCTCCATAACTTGTTTCAATTTAATAGAACCAATGCCAATGTAACATTTCAACATCTCCTGTATGGTTATAGGATAGTAATTAAACTCATTGAAACTTGAAGCCTCTTTGCTCTCAGCAATTTATGAACAGGAATAATTTTACATAGATTGCAAAGCAAATCACTAAGCACATCTATATTGCAACGTATCTAATTAAGGTGAACAGATTAGTCAACTTCCAAGTTGTAGGATAACCTGAAAAGCAGGTTTGAACTGAGAAACAGATGTGGAAAACTACAGACAATTTCTTTTCTTAACGGATGCCTTCAACTCTGAATAATGAGTTGATAGTTTTTCTGGATTTCTCAAACATTTGTCAGAAATTGTAATTACTGAAGCTAATGTCACTTTGTGGGTGAAAATAGGGAGCCCAGAATTTAGGGACAAAAGAAAGTTATCATTTGAAACTTACTAGTAAGACTTGACCCACAATGATGGGGGATAGAAATTCCCAGAGTAACCCTCTAGAACAGAATATTTCCTAAATATTGGTCAAGAGTGTATAAGAAGCAATTATAAGGGTATGGCATTTAACGAAAAGGAGACTCAAAGAAACAAGTTTTTCTTCAAAAGAGAATACACTAAGGAGAAGCAATTCCTATTGTGTAACATTCTGGTAAGAGAGTTCAGTTAGGGTGAGTCAATATCTTGAGTGAAATGACAAAATAGAGTCTGGGGACATAAAAAAATGAAGACTGGACCTTTTCTTGTAATAATTCTAAATTAGTATAGCCCAGAGTTTTACCTAAGCAGCTAACCAGCCAGTTTCACCCTCTTGATTTCTCTCAGTTATAACTTCTAGAATCACAGATTTTAATCTAACCTGACTGTGGCAATAACACAAAAAGGGGTTGATTGAATTATTAACCTCTCAGCCCCTCCTCTTAATATGAACCTGAATCAATACTAATTTGAGACAGGTACAAGATGTTAGTCGGAGCCTGGTTTAATATTTTACTTTAACAATAAGCTATCAAGCATGATTGTTCCACATGAAAATGTGAAAGAGAATGATTGTTAACAGTGTTGATATACCTCGTATTAGAAATTCTCAGTTGTCTTTTAAACAGCATGATTGTGGTAGACATAAACTGTGTGTTTACCAAACTGTTTCTTTTCCTTCTTGGGCACACAGCTAAACTGTATTTTCCAGATTCCCTTACAGTTAGTTGCTACCATGAAACTGGGTTCTGGCTGATGGAAACGGGTAGAAATGATGTTCCCCATTTCCAGCTTTGGCACATAAAAATCTCCTTTATGATCTTTCACATGCTCTTCCCCCAGTGACTGAACAGACAGAACTCTGAGGTCTTGGAGACTAAAAGAGCCACCTAACCACCTATACCTGTATTAAACTGACATACATATAACGAAAAAATAAATATTATGTTAAGCTACTAAAATTTTGGTGTTGTTTCGTTAGTCAGCCTACTCTGACCAATGCAGAAATTGGTATGAGTGGGAGGTACTGTAACATAACCTAAAATATGTAGTTGATTTACTGTATGGCGGCAGGCCAGAAAGCTGGGATTCATGTTATGCACTGCCTTTGACAATTTGGAAGGCAGAATCTGCGCCAACTGAGACTGTAGCTCTAGGCAATGCGATTGGAAGACAGATTATTATCAGCGTATATCGGTTGTTATTGCTTGCATTTAGCAAGATGTTGAAAGAAGGGGATGAGTTCATGTAAGATTTGGCTAATTTTCAAGCCAAAATTAAAGGGACTAGATGGAATCATAATCTAGCGTTTTAAATAAAATCATTTAAAACTAAAACTTTGAATAGAAAATTTAGAAAAACTAAAAGGGAATCAAAGTCACCTGTAATCCCCGAAATGAAAGATAACCATAACTCTAAGTGTGCAGAGAAAGTTTAATAAAACTCTGAACAAAGTTACCAACTGCTTTAAGAGATTCGCGAATACGCCTTCCGTGTAATACCGTAAGGGTGTGTAACCAACGTTTCTATGTCTCTACGGGCATAAAGTACTTTCCTCACTCATAGGGAAAGCGAGGCCTCCATCTTTGCGCAAGCGCACAAGGGCTGCAGCGTCTCCAGGCCCGCTCCGCCCACCCCGACCAGCTGGGTAGAGTCACGTGAGCGAGCCGCGGCCTCAAAGGAGGCGCCAGGACTGGTCATGTGACCCAGCCTCGCTACTCGCAGGGATGGAGCCGGAAGAGGGGGTTCCCTTGTGGCGGCTGCAGAAGCTTCCTGCCGAGCTGGGCCTGCAGGTGAGGAGGGCGCCTGGGGCGACCGCGCGGGGCCGGGCTCCGGGACGGCCTGGCGTGCGGGGCAGGTCCCACCTGGATGCTTTTGCGGGGCTCGCGCCCGCTTCCCAGAGGAAGGAGGAGGAAGGGGTGTGATTTCGGGTGGCCCGCCCCCTGCGTCCCCTGGAGAGTTGAGGAGGCCGAGGCTTGGGTCGCCACCTCTGCGACCCGGCCTCCAGTGGCCTCTCCGGGCGCTTTGCACGCAGACGCCCGCCGGGCCGCGCCCGCACTTGAGTAGGGACTCCCTGTTCGCTTCCGAGAGCGGCCGGGACCAAGTGACCCGGGCCGGGGGGTGGAGTCGCCACGTAGTCTTTGAAAACTTACAACCTGGACGGGATGGTTTGCAACCTCTCGTATACGATTCATTCCTTCATTCATTCATTCAGCACAAAGCTCCCCAACGCTCCCTATGCACCAGGCACAGTGCCAGGTGCTTGGGATGCTTTGGTGACCTAGAGAGGCATACCATACCCCCTTGAGGGCGACAGGAAAAAAAAAAAAAAGATAAATGCTACCAAAACTGGGAGACTTACTTTAGATAGGGTGGTCCAAGGTGGACCTTACCTTAGGAGGTGACATATACGTTGGCAACTCCAGTCTAAGAAGGAACGTGGTTTATGAGAGTCTGGAAAAAGCAGCCTTATTCGTTTGTTCAGACGACTTTTCATTGAAGTCTACTATGTGCTGAATGCCCTGATGGGATAAGATAAAATGGTGAATGAGGCAGCCTGTACCCTGGTAGACCTTGTCATCTAACAAGGAAACCAAACTGAGTTATCCAGTAGGGAGTTTGTGGGAGAGGTAGCAACCCAGATTTGAAGGGGCAAGGGAAGGTTTTCCAGAGCGGCTCCCTAGATTTCTAGCTTGAGTCCTGAACGAGGAGTAGGAACCAGACTGGGCAGAGGGGAGAGAGAGAGTTTCAGGCCAGGGAATAGCAGGTACAAAGGTAGAAGAAGAAAGAGAGCCCCAGGGAAATTTCAGGACCTGCTCTAGTTTTAGAGGCTGGAGTTCAGAGTGGGAGGCAGAGCAGGGAGACTTAAGTCTAGACAGGTGAGCGGGAGTCTCTGTATACCATGCTCCCGTGTTAAGCCTTAATACCAAAGGCGCTGGCAGTTTAAAGTATTGTTTTTGGCAGCAGCAGATTTTTAGTTTGAAAGGTGAGAGAAATGTGGAGACGGTAAGTACATATAATGAAATTTTGACTGTGGCCTGTGTGAAAGGAAGAAAACCCAGTGGTTGCTGTAAGAGGAAAATCTGAGAAGTGTTTTTTCTCCCTTGAACTTTCAAGTTAAAAAACCCTTAGTGCCCCAGGTCTCATGACCGTAAGGAAATTTGCCAACAGGTAAAAAAAAAAAAGGCGATATATATGCAAAACTGAGTTTCAGCATGAGCTCTTGGAACTGTGGTCCTTTGCCCTCTGACTTCAGAGTGCTAACACTTTGTATTGTAATTCATCTGTTAACATGTTTACTCCCACCTTTTCTGTCCCCCAGCAAGTGAGGCCTGATTAAGTCTTACTTGAATACAACTGCTTACCTGGTCCTCTTGCCACTGGTCTCTTTTATTTGGAACTCCTTCAGGGTAGATACCTTGTTTATATCCCCAGTTCTTGAGAGTTATGTCTGGCCCAAGGTGATTTCTTAATCAGTGTTTGCTGAAGGAAGGAATCAATTAATGTTTACTAAGCTCCGCTTTATCATTGGGCCTGAAATCTGGATCCCAGGCTATGGTGGCCTGGCTTTTAGTGTCCGTGATATGCAGCTTTTATAAGTCCCAAATCTCCGCCTTCCTTCTTTCTCTGTTCCATTTACAATGGGGATAGTGTGGGGAGATAAAGGGGAATAAACTTACTTATCCTACCAGGATCAAGAAAAACCATCTTAACTCTTTTCTCTGATTTTACAAATGAGGAAACTAAAATGTCAGTAGAGGGTTCGGGTAACTTACCCAAAGTTGTCAAACTATTGGAATAAGTGACAAAGTGGAAACAGATGCTCAGATCTGTTGACTTTGACTCTTGCATTAGCTTTCTGCTCCTGTCTTCATTCTGCCTGCGTACTACAAAGATAAGGCCCATAACCTTTACTGCCAGGTAGGTAGATGACTCCTGAATCTCTGGATCCAAAAATCTCTTCCCTGAGTGTCAGGCTGCTGCTTAGATACACCCACAGGTGTCTCAAATTCAGTATATCCTTGGCTGAGCTCCTCATCTTTCTCCCTGACTTACTCCTTCTGTAGCTATAGCCTCAGTTTTGGTTTGTGACATCGCCACTTTCCGAGTCATTCAACCTGAAATTCTGAGTATCATCCTTGGTCCTCCTTTTCACATCTTTACCTCCCTGCTGCCTCCAATTTTAGTGTCCTCAACAGTAACACCCCCTCCCCCCAATCTCTTGTGGTAAATGGAAGATGGGAGCCTTTGGACTCACTTCTTTCCCTTTTCCCTCCTTATATCTCCCGACCTGTTGGCAGATTTATAGAACCATAATGCAGATATGCGAATAGGTTGCTTCCCTATTGAACACACTTTAAAGTTTCGGCTCTTTTGCACTGTATACAAGGCCCTTTGTGATTTGGCCTCCACCACCTCTCCAGCTTTGTATGCTGTCATCTCCCAAATTGTGCCATGTGGTTTTACACTTTTATCTGCATTTGCAGCTGCTTGTGACTAGAAATGCCCTTCTCCTGTTTGGCCAACTACTTATCCTTTTAAGACATACTTTCCCCTCCTTCCTCTGTGCTGTTTTGTACCTTCTGTAAACTTGTATTATAACTCCTATCATCCTAAATTACATTTATTTATTGATATATTAGTTTTCTCTAATGGACTGAGGCTCTGATATGTAGGACCTTATCTTATTTATCCTCAGTTTCCTCATTTGTAAAATGGGGGTAATAGCAAGGCTTACTTCACAGGGTTACAGTGAAGATCAGCACAGTGTTTGGTACATAATTCGGGCTTTATAAATGGTAGCTGTTATAGTTATTTTTCTTTGTATTTACATTAACTTGTTTAATAACTGGAATGAAGTACTCATTACATATTTGTGAATTAATTTTAAAAATATATTCCAAAAACATAGCACTCTTATTTTTCAGTTTGAGTTCTGAGTTTTGTTTTAGCATGGGGGACAGTTTGGGATAAGGTGAAATATAGGTAGAGAATTTTGAATGAATTTCAAGTTGAAAATGTTGGTTAATTTATGATAAATAAAATTTCTGTTCACATAGTGCTTTAGCCATCATTTGGAAGTAGGGTCACCAGTTGCTCATCTCTGTTCCAATATGTATGGTGTTTATAGAGGAGTTACTGCTTAAAATGGACTGGAATATGATCCAGGAGAAAAAGAGTTGGAAGCCTTGCTGCTTAAATGCATTTCCAAGTTGTTTGGGTTCAAGTACGCTTCTTATAAGACACATCCCTTGAGAAGGAAAACCATATTTATCATTTGCCTAGAATAGTGCTGGTATAGTAGGTACTCAATATATGTTAAAGGTATGGAACGTAGTACCAGTAGTAGTAATAGTGATGATGATAATAATAATAAGACAATGAAGGATAACAATGGCAAGCAGTGTTTAATGCTAGGAGTGTGCCAAGTGATCTGCATGTATTCTTCAATCCATACAACAACATTATAGGGATAGATGATATCCTCGTTTTACACATGAGGAAACAGGCACAGAATGTTTAAATAACTTGGCAAAACTAGTATGTAGTGGAAATAGGATTCAGACTAGCCAGTTTTGTTCCAAAATCCAGTCTTAATTACTATGTTTAGTTATATATGTGTTAGGGTTTCCATTGCTGGCATTAAGGTAGGGTAGAGAGAAAGGAATGTAAAAAAGAGAAAGGCACCGAGGGCTTTTTTTGGACCAAAAGAAATAAGTGTGGGTGTTGTGGAAAATGGAGAGAAGAGGTGTGTAGATCTACAGTTAAAAGACTTTGATCTAAGAGTCATACCTTGTTTTTTCGTTATTGGTATAAATCCGATGTCTAAGGAATCCCAAGGAGAAACTTGTACACTCACCATCTTCCTTTCAGGAATGTTGGAGAAACAACAGTGTATCTATAAAATTATTTTAGCTTCTGAAGGTGGACAATTACAGAAAGTCTGTTTTTCTGTGTGTGTGAAGCTCTTTTTTTTTTTGTTTTTGGTGGTACACGGGCCTCTCACTGTTGCGGCCTCTCCCATTGCGGAGCACAGGCTCCGGACGCACAGGCTCAGCGGCCATGGCTCACGGGCCCCGCCGCTCCGTGGCATGTGGGATCCTCCCGGACCGGGGCACGAACCCGTGTCCCCTGCATCAGCAGGCAGACTCCCAACCACTGCGCCACCAGGGAAGCCTTCTAACTTTTAATTAATAAAATAATGTTAAGGATAGTTGCTTTTCAACCTCAGCTGCTCCTGAAGGTAACATGAACTTCTCCCAACACCATTTATGTGCAACAAGGAAGATAAATCTGTTTTATAATTTTACTTATAATTACATTTATTTCTCTTTTTTCTTCTCTAGCTTCTTCACAAAATAATTGATGGCATTTGTGGCCGAACTTATCCTCTCTACCAGGATTATCACAGTGTTTGGGATTCAACAGAATGGATGCATGTTCTAGAAGACATTACCAACTTTTTCAAAGCTGTAGTTGGTAAAAATTTATCTGATGAAGAGGTAACTTCATTCCAAATTTATATACCTTATGATAATAAATTGTATTCAGATTTTTTTTTATTAAGTTGGTCTTCAGGGCACTATATAAAACAAGGGCCATCATTATTAAGTGTATAATAGATAACAATAAAAACCTCATAATTGTAAGTGGAAAATCTGTGGAAGTTCTGGATTTTTGTAGTTTTGTTTTTGGTTGTTTGTATATTTTAAAATTGTGAAACATTTAAGTCATATAGAAGAAAACTGAAAGTTATATAACTGACACCTATATTCCCATTACCACAATTAAACAGTTGTTAAAATTTATGTATTTCAGGTTTGTGTGTGTTTTAGAAACAAGGCATTACAGATGCACATAAATATCACCCTCCCCCTAGAGATTACCACTTGTGAAGTTGTGTGTGTGTGTTTTGTATTCTATATTGTGTGAATATTTGCATCTTTAAGCAATATATACAATTATTTGAGCTGTTTAAATGTGTGACTTGTAAATGGTAATGTTTGTATCTATTTGTAATTTTTCTGCAACAGTGCGTTTTAGATTTACCAATATTCATAAATGTAGATCTGGTTTATGTATTTTAACCCCTTGTAGTATTTGATGATAGGAATTAGTAGGGCTTATTTTTCTATCCCCCTACTGATGAACAGTTGGGTCATTACCTCTTTCATTTTTATGAATAGTACTGCTACAAACATTTTGTATGTGTCTTTTTGTACACACATGGGCCAGCTTTTCTAGGATAGACATCTTGAAGTGAAATTGCAGGGTCATGGGGTATCCTTCCATTGAATTGCTTTTGTGCCTTTGTCAAAAGTCATTTGGGCATATTTGTATAGGTTGCCCACTTGGGAAAAAAATGGAGTCATGTATGTCATTTTGATTTCGATGATATTCTGAATATGAGTTCTTGGATATATGTGTTTTAAATATCTTTTATGTTACTTGCCTTTTCAGTCTCTTAATAGTATCTTTTGGTGAATAGAAGTTCTGAATTTTAATCAAGTCCAATTTGTCAGTATTTCTTTTGATGGTTAGTGATGTTAATGCTGTGTTTAAGAAATATTTGTGCCAGAGCCATGAAGATGTTTTTGTATGCTTTCTTGTAGAAGCTTGTTTTAGCTTTTACATTTATGTCACTGATGCATTTTGAATTAATATTTATGTATGGAGTAGGGGTCAAATTCAAATTTTTCCATATGATATCCACTTGACCTAGTACCATTTACTGAAATGACCATCCTTGCCCCATAGAATTGCTGTGCAGCCTTTCTCGGAAATCAGGTGACCATATATGTATGGTTCTCTATCTGGACTCTTTTTCTACTCCATTAGTCTGTTTGTCTATGTTTGTCCATACTACAATGTCTTAATTATTGTAGAATTAAAGCTATATTACATTAAGTTTTGATATCTGGTAGTAGAAGAGCTTCAACCTTGTGTTTCTTCAAGATTGCTTTGGTTACTCTAGATCCTTTGTATTTTCAGGTGCATTTTAAAATCAGCTTGTCAGTTTTAACCAAAAAACCTGCTGGAATTTTGATGGGGAGTATTAGCTTGGGCTGCCACAACAAAATACCTTGGAGTGAGTAGCTTAAATAACAGGAATTAATTTCTTGCAGTTCTAGAGTCTAGGGAGTCCAAAGTCAAGGTACGGCTGATTCTGGTCCCTGGTGAGGGCTTTTTTCCTTGCTGCAGATGATTGCCTTTTTGCTGTGTCCTCACATGGCTATGGGGGTAGGGGTGGAGACAAGAGAGCAAACTCTCTGGTGCTTCTTATAAGGGCACTAATCCCATCATGAGGGTCCCACCTTCATGACCTCATCTAAACCTGATTACCTCTCAAAGGCCCCATTTCTCGATATCACCTTGAAGGTCACAGTTTTAACATGAATTTTTAGGGGACATTAAGTGCATAGCATGGGATTGCACTGAATCTCTAGACTGTTTTGGAGAGAATTGACATCTTAACAGTACTGAGCCTCTGATCTATGAATATGGTATAACCTTCCATTTATTTAGATTAACTTCAGTTTTGCTCTAAGATTTTGTAGTTTTCAGTGTAGAGGTCTTGCAAATATTTTGTTGGATTTATTTCTAAGTAACTGATGTTTCTGATCTTTAATTTTGCTGTCCAATTGCATATTGCTAGTATGTGCAAACAGTGTTGATTTTTATATACTTTGTGTCCAACAATCTTTCTAAATTTATTTATATATAATGGTTTATAAATTTTTTTGGATTTTTTTTGTATGCAATCATTTTCTTTTTCAATTTTAATACCTTTTATTTCTTTTTTCCCCCTCTTATTCCACTGGCTAATATCTTCAGGACAGTTTTGGGGAAAAAAGAAAAGCAGTGCCTTGTTCCTGACTTTACAGAGAATGTATGTGTTCACTATTTCACAATTTAGTGTGTCAGCTGTGTGATTTTATGGGTATCCGTGATTAGATTAAAGAAGCTTCCTACAATTCTTACTTTGCTGAGAATTTTTATCATTAATAGGTATTGAATTTTATCAAATGCTTTTTTCCTGAATTTATTTATTATTTTCACCTTTATTTTGTTAATGTGATGCCTTGCATTGATTTTTGAATGTTAAACTAACCTTACGTTGCCAAAATAAACTCAACTTGGTCATGATGCATTATCTTTTTTAAATGTATCTTTTGGTTTGACTTGCCAATATTTTGTTTGGGATTTTTTCATCTATATTTGAGTGACATTGGCCCATAATTTTTTTTTCCTATATATATATTTTTTCAGAATATAAAGTTTTATTCTGGTCTCATGGAATGAATTAGGAAGTTGTTTGTTTTGTTTTTTTTCCTTTTTCTCTGAAAGTTTATGCAAGATTTATTTCTTTTGTCACTTAGTACTGTGTTACCATGTTGCTTAATTTTCAGATGTTTGGAATTTTTTTCAGTTATGATTTAATTACACAGTGGCTCAAAAATATAAATAGTATGGTTCCAGTCCTTTGAAATCTGTTGTGGTTTGCGACATGGCTCAGCACATGTTTCATTTTCGGGGATGTCCCATATACACTTGAAGATAATATGTATTCTGCAATCGTAGGGTGTAGTGTTCTATGTGTAGTTAGGTTAAGCAGAAAATGTTTTTCAATGCTATATTTTTACTGATTTTTTTGTCTCTTTCTACCAGTTACTGAGAGGTTTGTTAACATCTCTAATTATGAAAGTTGATTTACCCATTTCTCTTTTTCTGCCAAGTTTTGGTGCTTTATATATTTTGAAGTGGTGTTATTATGTGCACACACATTTATGATTGTTATGTATTTCTGTTGAGCAACCCTTTTGCTATCCTGCTCTACTTCTTAAAGTCTGTTTTCTGATACATTAATATAGGTATACCAGCTTTAGTGGTTTCCAAGTGTATTCACTCTTATTCTGTTTCACTGGTCAGCCCTTTTTACTTTCTGTTTTGCAAAAATTTGTTAAAACCTCTTGTTTATTGGTTATGCATCCTCATCTTATTGTTTCATGGTTATAGAAGTTTTTTTCTCATTTACTGATACTACTATTTTAAAGGGTATGTGAGAGTGTGACTGTTGTTTACATTTTAAACAGAAAGGCCCTAAAGATGCTCAGCATCACTAATTATTAGAGAAATGCAAATCAAAACTACCATGAGGTATTACCTCACACTGGTCAGAATGGCCATCATCAAAAAATCTACAAACAATGGTGGAGAGGGTGTGGAGAAAAGGGAACCCTCATACACTGTTGGTAGGAATGTAAATTGATACAGCCACTGTGGAAAACAGTATGGAAGTTCCTTAAAAAAACTAAAAATAGAACTACCATATGACCAAACAATCCCTCTACTGGGCATATACCCAGAGAAAACCATAATTCAAAAAAACACATGTACCCCAGTGTTCATAGCAGAACTATTTACAATAGCCAGGACATGGAAGCAACCTAAATGTCCATCAAAAGAGGAATGGGTAAAGAAGATGTGGTACATGTATACAGTGGAATATTACTCAGCCATAAAAAGGAGTGAAATTAGGTCATCTGTAGAGACATGGATGAACCTAGAGAGTGTCATACAGAGTGAAGTAAGTCAGAAAGAGAAAAGCGAATATTGTATAATAATGCATATATGTGGAATCTAGAAAAGTGGTATAGGTGGTCTTATTTGCAAAGCAGAAATAGAGACAGAGACGTAGAGAACAAATGTATGGATACCAAGGAGGGAAGGGGTGGGGCGGGAGGAATTAGGAGACTGGGATTGACACATATACATTATCAATACTATGTATAAAATAGACAAATGATGAGAACGTACTGTATAGCACAGGGAATTCTGCCTAATGCACTGGGGTAACCTAAATGGGAGGGAAGTCCAAAAGGGAGGGGATATCTCTATGTGTATGGCTGATTCATTTTGTTGTGCAGTGGAGGCTAGCACAACATTGTAAAGCAACCATACTCCAATAAAAATTAAAAAAATAAACAGAAAGGCCCTTTCACTTATTTTCTAACCATCTATTTTTATTTTCGTAGATATCTCAGCAGTTGGATCAGTTGAATTCATCTCATCAAGAAGCTATCATGAAATGCTTAAAAAGTAGGAAAGATGAAATCAAGCAGGCTCTGTTGGAAGAAATAGTTGATATTTCCTCTTCACAGCTACAGGATTTTGATTGGCAGTTAAAGGTGAGAATATATTTATTTATGAGTATTTATGCTTTTTATTTCATTTTTTGAATAGATTTATTTTTTGTAATATATCTCTAAAATTTCTGTATTTTTGAGCATACATTTTCCTAAAAATGTATCAAAGATAATTAAAATTACATCTTTTGTGTTAACTTGGGCATCAGTAAGTGCGCTGCAGACATCTAAACCATGTATAATAAATTACAAGTATAATAAATTAAGTAAAACTTAAAGTCATTAAAGGACTAAAAGTCATGTAGATGAAGGAAAAGATATGTGCTCTGTGGCTCTGGCGAATAGGACAAAGGCTAAAGTATATGATTTGTAATAAGATAGGTTTCAATTCAACCTAAGAAATAATAATTTAACCACTATACGTATCTGAAAATTATTATTTTTTTTTTGCGGTACGCAGGCCTCTCACTGTTGTGGCCTCTCCCGTTGCGGAGCACAGGCTCCGGACGCGCAGGCTCAGCGGCCATGGCTCACGGGCCCAGCCGCTCTGCGGCACGTGGGATCTTCCCGGACCAGGGCACGAACCCGCGTCCCCTGCATCGGCAGGTGGACTCTCAACCACTGCGCCACCAGGGAAACCCTGAAAATTATTTTAACCTCTTTTTGAGTTAGCACACTCCTCATAGCTGGTACTCAAGCATAGGCTGGGAAACCACTTGTTGGAAATATTGAGGAAAATTATTGATGAGGCGGACAGCCTGAAGGTGATGCTTTCTCAGATATTATGGGTCCTGTATTTTGGAGAGAGGATGGAGGAGCTACGTGAAGGTTTGTTTGGTCCTGTAGTGTATGCACCACAAGGGAGATCCTTTGAGGTTGGTTGTCAGGGAGGGAGTCCTTTACTATTGCCCAAGTAAACTTTTGCAAGTGGTAGCACTCCAAAATTCAGTTATTGTGGGATTACTGGCTCAGATTCCAGGAAAACTGAGTTCCTCTTTGCCATCTGCCAGTGAAGCTATGATGCTTGTTTCAAAAAGCTTTAGTATCGTAAGCAGTTGGTTCTTCCATTTCCTCTAGACAGAAAGTAGAAGAGGTAAAAGTGTCATGTTTTTGTTGAGTGGCTCTGATCAAAGATGGTATCTTGATAACATTTTCCAATAGTTTAATAGAGAGTTAGCTGCTCAGTATTTAAGCATCTTAATTTCTGAGACTTAACGGTGTTTTTAGTTTTATCTTTGTACACGGACTTTCATCCTCTTGTTATCATTACACTTCTTTAAAATTCTCTGTTTCTTGACGCATTGGACCCATTCAGTACTTCCCAGCCATAACGCTGCTCTAGATTTCTACTCCTACCATAAAATCCTGACTGGCTGTCTTTTTTCCCTAAACTACTTTCTCTTTTCTTTTTCTATTCTTCGGATATATGCTGGTTTGGCATGGGTTTAATTTCTTTTATTCCTTTCACATTTCCCTGTACTTCATAGCAAACAGGAGTACTCTTTTTTCTTCAATGTGTTGTTTGTAAGCTCTGATGCATATTTAATATATTCCTTTTTAATACTACTTACTAATTAGTATTTTTCTCATTTTAAACAGCTTGCACTTTCTAGTGACAAGATTGCTACTCTACAAATGCCACTTTTAAACCTTCATCTAGATGTGAAAGAAAATGGTGAAGTCAAGCCGTATTCTGTTGAAATGAGTAAAGAAGAGCTGCAGAATATAATAAATTCCTTGGAAGCAGCTAATAAGGTATGTGTTTTAATTTTTTTGTATGGTTCAAAATATTTAATTTCTGATTGATACCATTAGAGCAATATAAGAAAAACTAATCATTTATGTTTAATATTTCTTTTGTTCCTGATTATTTTATGTCAAGCACAGAAGATATTTTGATATGTTCTTCTCTAGTTTTAGATATTACATTAATTATAAATTTAATTTACATTAATAGAACATAATTTATCAAGTAGTTATTTTTTAAAAGAGTAACAGCTAGATTTGTTTTGCTCCAGTGTTCATTAATGGTAAAAAAATTTTTTCTTAACTTGGAGTTGTGAAATTAGTTGATTCTGAAGACATTTAATGATTAAAAATAGTTAATGATCTTGAAGAAAGATTGTCTTATTTACTGGACAAATGGTAGAAAATCGCTTTAAGTACCGGAGTCAAAATATGGTTTGTAGTTATTATGACAAAAATCAGCTTGAGACAAAATAGAGCTAATGAAGGACCAAAAGCTTTACATTTACAAAGGAATGGCTAAGTAACAGTAACAATTCCGAGTGTTTAACTAATGTGAAAAATAATATTTAGACAGTAGAAACTGATGCCGTGAGGAAGACATAAAAATAATTCCCTACGTTGCGTATGTTCCTTTCCTTGTTGCTGAGCGTCGTCTCTAGTGATCGTGTCTCAAGGATTAAAGTCAGTTATTCTTACCAACCTCTCTTGCCACTAACCCATCTTGGCTTGATCTTTTTGAAACTCTGGTATACTTCATCTTCCCTCCATACTCTGCAGTCACTCGGCCATCATGGTGCCTTGATGACTGGTCCACATGCCCAGTAACAAACTGGTAGCCTGGCTTGTCTTTGGATGAGGCTACAAATCTGGAGGGGTGTGTGGCAGGGCCTGGTGTAAATGTTAGATGAGTCTGAAGCATGGATCCTGGCAGACCTGTGCCTTCTGTGCATTGTACTTGTCAGTTCTCCAGCCTCTTAAGAGATTTCAAAGCATCTCATTCAGCAGATACTGGCATCACTCTGGGATAACCTGATTCCCGCCCTTCCCTCCCTTTGTGTTTTAAGGTGGTCCTGCAGTTGAAATAACTGGAAGTGATGAATACCAATATTATCGGATTCCACTGCTACAACTGATACGGCAGAGTGAATACCATGTGTTAGGAAACCTGTGATATACTCTTATGGCCTGCTGAGAAAGCAGCAGTGTTGAGATTACAAAGACAGCAATTTATCAACTTCCCTAAAGAACAGGAAATTATATGGTTGACAAGAAATGCATAAAAACATGAAAGATGAAAAGGCTATAATAGCAGTTTATATTTTCATAATGACTGTTTTGCTTCATTTATTAAATATTTGAGAAACCTTTATAGATATACAGTTTTATTGAAAGCTAAAAGTAGGCTCTAAAGTAATGTAAACTTACAAGCACAAATATACTTGAATATTACTTAAAGAACTATGTGAATAGCAAGGATGTTTATTATGGATATATATGGTTAATTTGTGATATTTTAAAAAAATAACTTTTAAAGAATGTATAAGCTACATCTGTAACTCAGGAGATTCCATGTTTTTCTCGTATTTCAAAGGAAAGTTTATAAAATGTAAAATTTCTTAGAGAAGTGCTCCAGACATGAAAAAACACTAAATCTGTGTGAACGATTTTGAGTTTTGAATTCTAGAAACTAAAATCTCATATTAGAACATAGATAAAAATGAAAATAACACTGTAACTTCTGTATTTCTGTGTCTGATCAGGAGAGTATGCTCTAATAAAAAGAACACATGTCGTTGTATAGAGTATACATTACTATCAAAATGTCAGCTAAGACTGTATATAGATGACATTTGTTGTAAACTCTTAATTTGTTACAAACTCTTAATGAAGTTTTGGATGTTAACAACTTCATTGGAAAACAGACCATTTTTAATTTCAGTTACCTTTAAAAACAAGCATTTTGAGCAAATAAAAATATTTTATTTTTATATATTGCTTTATTTTAGATGACTTTCTACATAACTCAGTAACATCATTGGTACCTGATTTTTGCAAGATTTATAACTCATTAGAGCATCAGATTATTATTCGAGGTGTCCAGAGCATTCCCTCTTATTGTCATCATACAGATGAGGGTAGGCTTAGTGAGATTAATAAAAGTGAGTGCAGTCCAGACGGTGCTACTCAAAACGTGTCTGTAGGCTAATGCCACTCTATGAACTGTTGGTTACAGCTTGGTGATTAGATGTGGAGCTTGTGCCAGAATGTTCATCAATATACTTCTTTCTTCACTGAGAAATTTTGGCCAGGAAAAAAAAAATCAGCTGAACTAACCAGCATGCTTTGGGAGGTAGTTGTTTTACCTTCTTGTGCAAATTCCTTATGTCGTTGTGGACCAGTAACAGTTTGTAGGCAAGCACTTGCAATAATACTGATATAGGGTCCTTCAGAATTTCAACCCTCCACAAAGTCCTTCCTTTGAGAAGGGAAAAACCTTACTCTGCTTAGTCCTCTCACTACATTATTACTACGTTACCATATGTAAACGCTTTATTGAAATCTGATATAAACTGCACATATTTAAAGTGGGCAGTCTGATCAGTTTTGACGTCTGCACACCCATGAAAGCGTCACCTCAAGGTGGTGAACAACCAGTCACTCCTGAAAGTGTCGTCCTACTCCTTTGTAATCCTTACTCCTGCGCCCTTTCCCCCCAGACAACCACTGATCTGCATCCTGCCATTATAGATGAGTTCCCATTTTCCAGAGTTTAATATAAATGGAATCATACAGTATGGTCTTTTTTTGTGTGATCTGGCTTCTTTCAGTATTATTTTAAGTTCATCCGTGATACTGCATATATCAGTGGTTCATTCCTTTTTATTGTTGAGAAGTATTCTGTTGTAGAATTCCACCATCATTTGCTTATCTGTTCACCTGTTAATGGATGTTTTGGTTGTTAACAGTTTTTGGCTGTTACAATACACAATGCTATGAACATTCTTGTATGTGTCTTTGTATGGACATATGCTTTCTTTTGGAAGTAAATACTTAGGAGTGAAATGGCTGGATCATGTGGTACGTGTATGTTTATCTTTTCAAGAAACTGCCAAACTGTATTCCAAAGTGATTTTTACATTTTAAATTCCATACCACAGTCTATGAGAGTTCCACCTCCACCACCTCGCTAACACTTGGTATGGTCAGTCTTTCTAATTTCAGCTGTTCTTAGGTGTGTTGTGGTGTCTCATTGTTGTTTTAATAATATTCATTTCCCTAATGATGTTGAGTATCTTTTCATGTGCGTATTTTCTGTCTGTATATCTTCTTTGGTGAAGTGTCCAGATCAGTTTCCGATTTTTAAATTGGATTGTTTTCTTCCGGGTTTTGGGAATTCTTTATATAGCCTGGATACAAGACTTTACCACATATATACCTTGAAAGTATTTAAATATTCTCTCTTAATCTGTGGCTTATCTTTTTTTTTTTTTTTCTTTTTTTTTGTAAATAGTTTTTTTTAGAACAGTTTTGGATATACAGAAAAATGAAGCAGATAGTACAAAGAGATCGCATATACCCCACATCCAGTTTCCACTGTTATTAACATATTAGTATGGTCCGTTTGTTATAATTGATGAACTAATATCAATATATTATTATTAACTAAATTCCATAGTTTATTTAGATTTCCTAAGTTTTTACCTAATGTTAGCTTTTTCTCTTCCAGGATTCCATTTCATATTTGTCATGTCTCCTTAGGCTTCTCTTGCTGTGATAATTTCCCATACTTGTTTTTGATGACCTTGATAGTTTGAAGAATATGGGTGAGATATTTTGTAGGATGCCTCTCTATTGGAATTTAATAATTTTCTCCTGTGTACACTGGACTTGTGGGTTTTGGGCAGGAAGATCAGAGGTAAAGTGCCATTTACATCACATCATCTCAAGGGTACAGACTCTTAACAGTATTTATGACTTGACATTGACCTTGATCACCCGGCGGAGGTCGTGTTTGTCAAGTTTCTTCACTGTATTCTTTATTTCTCCGTCCATACTGTCCTCTTTGGAAAGAAGCCACTATGTACAACCCAGACTTAAGGAATTAGGCTCCCCCTCCTTGAGGTCCGAATATTTACATAAATCCTTTGGAATTCTTCCACATAGATTTGTCTCTTCTATTTATTAATTAATTTAATCATTTATATAGTATGGACTCATGGATATTTATTTTATACTTTGGGTTATAATCCAGTATTACTTATTTTATTACTTAAATTGTTTCAGCTTTGGCCATTTGGAGCTCTTCACTTGGCTCCTTTGTCCTTTTGACATACCCCTGAGGTAGATTTTATTTATTTATTTTATAGTATCTCCTTAACTTCCTGGCAATACAAGATGCTCCACGCTCAGCTTGTCAGTTTCCTTCCCAGTCCTAGAATCAACCATTTCTCCAAGAAGCCCTGGTTCAGTTTATTGAAGAATGGAATTAGAAACCAAGCTGGGTGTGCTCATTGTTGTTTTTTTGGGCCCTCTCAGCTGACGGGACAAAGAAATCCATGCATGTAAACTAACCTGTGTATACTACACATATCTATAAATACTTCTTTATATAATCATCTGTATATTAAGCTGCACATGAGTTCCTCCTGATGTCTCCAACTCTGCTTCATTACACAGGGATCATTCTAGCCTGCTACCCTCCCTTATCTGTGAATTCACATTCCAGCAGTGAGAAACCTGGATCTCCCCATTCACCATTCATTCCAGAATATATATAGCAGTCAAGATTGTTAGTCTGTACCCCTGTGTGGGAGGGGGAGATTTTCTTTTTCTTCCCAGGAAGGATTTATTCCTTTTGCCTTTAGTCTCACAGACTCCACTCATTTCCAAGTTACTTGGGTCAGTACCTCTTCTCCCCACTCCCTTCATGAGGTTGTTTGATACATTTGTGATACAGTGAGATTTTTTGCCATAATCTGTCTTCCTTGTTGGGATCCCCCAACTTCTTAAATTTAAATTTGCATACATTAAGGTGTATTCTTTTTGTTGAACAGTTCTGAGTTTTGACAAATGCCTAATGTCATGTTGTTGGGGGAGGTCATTGAGAGGATGTGACCGGCTGTTAACCCGTGAGCTGGACCCTGGCAATAGGAGGCTCCTTGCCCCCTCCCCTGTCCTTGGAATGTGCATTCCACTTGTTTTTTCCACTCCCACAAGCTGCCCCAAGGATCCTGCCCAGAGGTGATAATGTGGTATTGAGACTCTCTGGACTGTACATGTGACTGAATCCAGTTAAGGCTGCTATGTAAACTTTTAAGACTTGGGTGGGTTGAGGCAGAGATCTACTTGTCTTGGTGGCCGCCCAAGGCAAGTCTTGGAAGTTGCCTTGCTTGTTAAAACCACTACCTACTAATCTGGCGTGGTTCACCTCTCACAGGGCAAGAGATCCTTGCCCTGCATGGGTGGGGGCTGGTTTCCGATTACACTTGGGAAACTCCCGAGGTTGTGAACTAACACATGTACTGACTCCACAGAATAGTTCAACATCCTAAAAATTCCCTATGCTTTTACTTAATCGTCCCTCTCCATCTTCCTCAGAACCCCAGACAACTAGTGATTTTTCTTAATGTCATTATAGTTTTCCCTTTTCCGGAATGTCGTGTAGTTGGGATCATGTAGTGTGTAGTCTTTTCAGACTGGCTTCTTTCACTTATCAGTATGCTTTTCTTCCAGGTCTTTTTGCCTTAATAACTCATGTCTGTTTTCTCTCTGAGTAGTGTTTCATTGTATAGGTGTACCACCGTTTATATTCACTTGTTGAAGGAAATTGGTTCTTTTCATTTTGGGGGCAATTATGAATAAAGCTGTTGTAACCATGCACAGGCAAGTTCTTATGTGGACATAAGTTTTGAAACTAACTGAACAATACCTAGGAATGTGATTGTTGGATCGTTTTGCACTACTGTGTTTTTTTAAAAAATAAATTTGTTTTATTTATTTATTTTTGGCTGTGTTGGGTGTTCGTTGCTTCACGTGGACTTTCTCTGGTTGTGGAGAGGGGGGGCTACTCTTTGTTGTGGTGCGC